TGTCACCAGCTTAGGCTGAAATACAGGGCACAGAGGGTACAAGGGCAGGAGAGCACTGAGCCTGAGGTTCCCCCGCCAGGTGCCCTGTAGGTGTCACCCACTTGGGCTGACAGCTCTTTGCGCTGTCACTCGTGTGCGTGAGAACCACGAGATGGCACTAGCAACTTTTGCAGGCTGGTGGCACAAAAACCCAAGATACTGCATTGCTGTATCACAGGATACAGGCACTCCACAGTCACGAAGGTGGGAATGGGGTATTTCTCTTACCGGGTGGTCAGCTTTGGCTAAATCCATTTCCATTGCCATTTCATTATGTTTCATTAAGTCAGCAGTTTTCATTTATGACAGGCAGATTTGATTAATGGCCTCCACCTAGCAAGCTGTTTTGCATTTTATGCATCATATATTCAGAAGAAAAGTGATTAAAAAGGATAACTGATTCAAACATCAACCATGCTTAATGCAAGAGGCTGGGCCACAGCAGGGCCAGGGTGCACCTGTGAAGCTCTGTAAGACTCTAGATGCCCTTTCTGCAGCCAAATTGATGCAACACTATCTGTAAATTGCTCAAAAGAAAGCAGTCTGAATACTGTTCTCCAGCTCCAAGGCCAGCCTAGCACTGTTTGACACCCTTTAGAAATGTCCCATTGGTCACTAGGCATACCACACAGCAGCTGGCCTGGCTTCCCTCCTGGAATGCTGCAGGATCCTTTCAGCTCTAGGATGAAATTAGCCCATTTTGCACAGGAGTTGGTTATCTGAAAGGAAGTGAAAACTGCACTGCAGCCCAGCTGAGAGGTGTTTCTTACAGCATGACCCTGAGAGGCTGAGTTTCATGCCCTCTGGGATGCCCAAGGGCACACACATGCTAGGGCAGAAAGATGCCAAGTCTGGTGGGACAACATTGGAGACAGAGGGACCCAGGCTTGATGTAGCCTCTTCCATAGTGGGAACAGTCATTGGGGTGAAGGGCACCACCAGGTAGTGTCTTGGCAAAAGCTGCTTGAAGTGGTCCAAAACAGAGACAAGAAGCAATCAAATGACCCAGTGTCTGAACCTCTTCCCTATCCCCTGTCCCACTTCCATTTACCACTGTAGACATACCCCACCACAGGATTTACGCCTTGGAAGGCTGCAAGGCTGTCTGCAACAAGCAGTTGGACTCCTCCACAGTTACCCCACAACCAGTTGGTTCCTGAGCTCAGGGGGACACAAGCCTTCCCAGCTACTGAGGTAACACTGCCCAGCACTCTGTATTGACTTCTGGAAGTGCTCAGTGAAATTATCTGGGTGAAGGCTTCAAACAAATGCGTCTATCTTCTCATGCACGGAATGAATTCAGTGCTGTTCATTCCCCTGAACTGCTAAGGAATTAAAAGAAATTCAACAGGAAATCTGATAAACTGAGGGAGGATAAATCCATTGGTAGCCCAATGTAGCAGTTGGTCACACAGCGATCTGAGTAGTTTTTGGTTCAGGAAGTCTGGACTCTGTGTAAATTTATCAATTTGCACTAGGCTGAATCCTGGAAGCTGGGAAAGAATGCCGCAGGGAGGATTGCTCTGTACTCAAATGACACTTAGGCTCAGATGAGAGACAAGTCATTATCTGAACAGATAAAATTTTCAGGATTTTTTGGGGAAGAGTCAATATGGTTTTATAAAAGTAAATCACACCTCATAAATCTCTTAGGGGCTTCAGAAGGCATCAACAAACAGGTATATAGCTAAGAACGGTTTTCCAAAGTCCTTCATCAAAGCCTCTTAAAGAAACCATGCTGTGATGGTTTAAGAGGTAAGGTTATGTGAATAAAGAGCTGATTAAAAGGCAGGAAACAGAAGGCAGAAATAAATAGCCACTTCTGATAGTGGAAGGAGGTTTGGCAGTGGAGTCGTGCAGGGATTTGTACTCAAGCTTACATTGCTCAGCATGACTTAAACCTGGAAAAAGGGAGTGTGTCACGAGATGGAAGTTTGTTGAGGTTATTAAGCATCCAAGATAGTAAAGATGATGAACAACTGGGTAAGCTGCAGAAAAGTCTCACAATAGACACCAACTAGGCAATAAAAAGGCAGATGAAATTCAATGTAGCTAATTCTAAAATTAATTATTAAAAAAAAAAATCTATTTTTACATACATGATAGTAGGGTCTCAACTGACATTTTCTGCTTGAGAGTTGGACCTCAGAGCTACCTAAGTGTCTAAGAAAAGGGTAGCTCAGTGCTCAGCAGCAGCCAAAGCAGCAAGTTCCACTACTACGAGAGGAACAGAGAATAAAATGGAAAACACCTTCAAGCCACTCTGTATATCTACAGTGCAGCTACACCTCCAAAAACTATGCATGGCTATGGACCCTCTGGCTCAAAACACACGCGGCACAACAGAAAATTATACAAAAGGGTAACAAGAATGAACAAAAGCATGGAATGGTTTTCCTATGAAGAATGAATAACTGGATTAAGACTTCTCAGCTTGAACAGAGGGAAACACCAATGTGTTCCAATATTGTGATTTCTTCAGTAGTTAACACACACACAGTTTTATTCTGCTTCCAAAGCCCTTTGTGAGGTGGGATTGTCTTGTCAACATCTGGGTAGCTCCATTCTGTTGGGCAGATGGGACAGCCAGTGCCAATGCTCAGGCTGCTGAACCTGCAAATCTCTCCTGAAGGACCTCAGCACTCCCAGGATGTAAAACCAGATGATTTAGAGATGTTATGGACAGTTGTATAAACAGAACTGTCACGGCTGGATACAGGTTGGAAGGGTGGCAGATGGTGATGAGCATTGTGCTCTAAGCACATGAGTGGCATGAATGCATGCATGTTTGTGAGGGAACACAGGATGAGAAAATCAAGAGCCCATGGGTCAGGAGAAGGTAACAAAAGTGATATTGTTGTGGGCATCTCCTACAACCCACTCAATCAAGAAGGGAAGATAAACGGAACATTCTTTGAACAACTGGAAAGTGATTCAGGACAGACAAGAAGAGTTCTTGTTTTCTGCAAATGGAAAAACCTGCCAGTTGGAAAAACCTCTGTCTTCACTCACAAAATCTTTGCTCATGAGGTGTTTAGTTAGGTCTGCCACATGTCTGTGTCTAGTAGCAAAATTTCAAGGACAAAATTAGTAATCACACTGTAAGACTGAGTCAGGGATGCAGTAAGCTGGACATACACAAGTCCATGGGGCTGACAGTGCAAAAGAAACTGGCCAATGTAATCATGAAACTGCCCTCTATCAGTTTTGAAGGGTTGTGGTGACTGGTGAAGTTCCAGATGGCTGAAAGAAAGAAAATGTCATAGCCCACTTCAAGAATGGCAAGAAGAATGATCTGGGGAACTACAGGCTGATCAGTCTATCCTCAGTTCCCTGGAAGTTTACCAAGCAATCTTCAAAGTCATTTCCACACTCAAGATGGACAGGACAATGATTTGGAAAAGCCATCATGTACAAACAGTAAACAAAACTGACTGCCACCTTTGATGAGATCACTTTGTTGATGGATGGACAAAGAACACTGAATCTAACTTTCCTTGACTTTAGTAGGGCTTTCAACATAGTCTTCACGGTATCCAAATCAAGGAAACAGACTAGATGGGTGGACTATGACATGGGTGAATAACTGACTGGATTGTCAGACTTAAAGGGCATTGGACAACAGCTTAAATTCTAACTGGTAACCAACTGCAAATGGCATTCTTCTGAGGTCAACACTGGTTTTTTTCAGTTACAGTGCTGCTCAACATTTTCATCTATGTCTCGCACAAGGGGATGAAATGCATCCTCAGCAAGTTACCATATGACCCCCAGCTGGGGGTCACGACTGATACACTGAAAGGCACGGCTACCACTCACAGAGACCTTTACCAGCTGGAGAAAGGTACCAATGAGAATCACACCAAGTTCAATAAAAGCAAATACAAGCCCTGCACCTGGCATGGACTAACTTGATATGACAGTACAAGCTAAAGGACCTACTAGGTAGGGAGCAGCTCTGCAAAAAGAGATGTCGGGATCCCGGTGAACTGCAAGTTGAACATGATTAAGTGGAGCAACCTTGCAGTGATAAGGCCAACAGCATACTGGGTGGTATGAGCAAGGAAGTTGCCGTCAAGTTGGCAGAAATTATTCTTCCTGCGTACCGAGCACTCCTCAAACCACATCCATAAGGCTGCGTACAGTTTTGGGCTTCTCAGTACAAGACAGACATTGACAAACTGGAGAGAGTTCAGACGGTCAGGGAGCGACAGCATATGATGTGGAAGAAGAGGCTGAAAGAGAAACTGCAGTCTTCCAGCACCTAATGGGGTATTATAGAGAAGACAGAGACAGAATACCTCAGAGGTACAGAGTGAAACAAGAGGGAAAGATCACAGGTCTGAAGATGGCAAATTTTGACTGCAGACTAGGAAGTAATTCTTCACCATTACAGTGGTTAAGCACTGGCACACATTGCCCAGAGACACTGTGAAATTACTACCTTTGGATATTTTCAAACCTGACCAGACAAGGTTCTGAACAACTCGATTTAATTTCAAAACTTTGAGGCTTGAGCAGCTTTGTGCCTGCTTTCAGCAGGCACTTTGGACTAGACAACCTCCAGAGGCCTCTTTCAACTCCCAGTGTTTCTACAACTCTATAAGTGACATACAAATATATATAAATGTTAAACCATAAACCCATAAAAACTAAACAAAGCCAAACATACACAGCTTTGCATATACAATGTAATGTTGACACGCAGACATGTCCCATGGGGGGAATAAAGAAATGTATCATAGACAACACCATACACTGATGGAAATAAGACAGAAGGACTATTATGAAGACCAACTTATATGAAACAAACCAAGATGGGATTTAAGCATGCAAGATTACCAGTATGTGTCATAGCTCCTATTTTATCATTCAGCTTTACTGGAGCAAATTATTTAAAACACCTCAGTGAGAATCAAAAGACCCAGTCTGCAGAGGTAAAGCTGAGTCCAACATAAAAGTGTTTTTGCTATGTTTATTTTGTAATTATCCCACTGACACACACTGCCAAAAGCTGTAGAGCTTGTGGCACTGCAGTCATTTTTGAAGCCTAGTTAAAATAATGTGTGAGTCTGAACACACAGAAGAATAAGTACAATTGACTTTTTATCTCTACTTTATTTCACAGAAGAAATGCATTCTGGGGTGAGGAGAAAGTTCAGGGGAAGCCTGCAGTTCTTAAAGGACATTGTTCATAATTTAATCAAAACAATAAGTAAATGCCATGAAACATGCGCATATTCAACTAACTGAAAAGATGAGCCCCTTCTTAAATAATGAGAAGAGAATTAATGAAGCCTACCTCCAGTGAAACTCACTTCATAATCTGGCTTTTTTTTTTTATAGACAAAATGTTTTCTGTACACTATCACCTCTGTTTTTCCTGACAGTAGGACACTCAGTTTTTTACAAAATTTGGTTACAAGTACCATCAATGTAAACAATTAAAACTTTCATTTTTAGTTAGGTATCAGTACACAGAACAGAAATACTTGGAGACAGAACCAGTGAGACAGCATAAATTCAGAGTCTGTGGGGACTCATTTGGTTTTCTTCCCATTAGGAATGTGCTGAAATCTGGAGCTGAGATGCTTGCAGAGCTGCTTATTAATACCACACATGAACCTCAGGACTGACACTTGAACTATCCTGTACTTCTTTGTAGATCTCCAGTACTGGTGCTTCCTGCTGCATCGGGTGACGGCCCCCCAGATGTGCCTTCTTCTAGAGGTATGCCCTAGGTGGAAAGATGTTTCAAAGCCTCCTCTTCATGAAAAACCCCACTCAGCTTTTGTCAGGAGTTTGGGTGTTGGCACGGTGCGAGGATCAGACAGCTACATCAGGTCAAATGAGTTTTTTATTTCATGTTCAGATCAAATCTTATCTGTATTATTAAAATATTGTGAAAAGGCTCTTTTTTTTCTTATTCCAAATAAGGAATACTAAAAGTTTTAACAGATTTGAGTCAAATTTATCCTGTTGTTTGTCACATCTAGAAGTAGCTAGTGTTGATAAAATGTCTGTCCAATAAATATACAATGCTATTTCATCATTTATTTTTGTACGACCATGAACATGACACAAAATAATGAAGCATAAATTTAAATCTGTGGAGCCTGACTGTCCTAGGCATCACTGCTTGTATGGTGAATTGCAGGTTGATGGAAAAAGTGGCTAGTCTGACTTCACAGTGTATTTTGGCAGGGTACAAACAATAACATGGAAGAGGACTTTAGATAAATTGGGCTCACCATGTTCCGGGGGGGGATTTAATCTAAAGGTCATGAAAGTCAGAGGAAAGACTTCATGGGCTCTGAGGGAGCACAGAGAAGGTAAACACATCCACACCATGACAAATCCTTCATTAGTGCTATTTTTGGTCCCAGAAAGAGAACAGTTTACCCCAAAGTGCAGTAAGCTTACACAGTTTTAGAGGGTACGAGAAGGCTGATAATGTTCTGTGCTCTTAGAGCTTGAATAGACTTCCCTGTTTATTCATTGTGTTTAGCACAAAAGCCAAAGTCTACCCCTGGTACATGCTACGATACTATCTCACAGATGGGAGACTTAGACTTCAGCTTGATGCCTTTTTCCCTGTGTGGAGAAAACAACCGCAAAAGGAAAAAGCCATTAGGCATTTCGACTCTGGAGTATCCCTCTGGCCTCTTCTGGACTGGGGGTGCAGGTTAATTGGAATTCCTCCGCCTCCCCTATAAACATGTACTCAGTTTCCCCCAGGCTTCCTTCCAGAATTGTATGAACTGTGCACTTCCTTAAATGAGCTAGGGAAGCTGTTCCACGTTTTGTAACTATTATTTAGAGTATGTGTGCTTTTCTGCCCTTTTTTTTTCTTTTTTTCCCCCTTTTTCTGCAAAGTGGCAATTCTTTTGATTAAAATTATCTTGTAATTTCTCAAAAAATGAGTTTTTATTCCATACACCACAATGCCATCATGGTAGGCCTTCAGCATCTACACCTGTACATAGGCTACATCCATCATTATACATACACATTTTTACATGCTTATTTTCTCAGTGGCTAGACCAGAGCTGCAATCAGGGATACTTTTCAGAATGTGCATGATGAAATCTGTTTATTTGACCTAAATCCTGGAGAAGGTACTTAGCTTTTTACTTACATTTTTTTTTTAAATACCAAATTAACCAGAGCAAAACAAGTTATCAAGAATGTGTATTTTAAAAACATCTTTTGAAAGCCAGTAAAATTTGACTTGTTTTCCCTTTGGAGAGAAGTATTTGAGAAGAAATGTGTTTTACCCAGAAAGAAGTATGCTTGCACTGGAAATACAAAGAATAAGTTTCTGCATTACTTATTTTTTAACAGAAAAATAACAATCCCTTAAAAAAACATGGCGCTGTCATATATTTGGGCCTACATAAAAATGCTGGGTTATCTTTCAGTAAGCTGTGTATTGCCTGAGTTAGAAGTAGCAAACATGGTGTACTTGGGTTACCCCTGTCCACACAAGTAGTTCAGACAACAGCCCAGATAGCTCCCTTCCAACTGGGAATGAAGGGCTTTTTGGATGGGAGGGGTTTAAAATGTTCTCTAATGTTTCCCTCTTGGCACTTTCTACATCTGGCCTGTCAGAGATACAGTGGAGCTTTCTTTTCCCTGGGGAGGAGTGAAGCTTCTTCAAAAAAATTCTATAAATACATTGGCAGCAAAAGGAGGACTAATGAGAGTCTCTATCCTTTGCTGGATGCAGAGGGTAACAAAGTGTCAGGGGATGAGGAAAAGGCTGAGGTGCTTAATGCCTTCTTTGCCTTAGTTTTTAATACCAAAACCAGTTTCCCCCAGGATATCCAGCTACCAGAGCTGGAAGTTAGAGACAGGGAGTAGAATGAAGCCCCTATAATCCAGGAGGAAAGGGTTCCAGTCAGACACCTATGTGCCTAGATAGGATGCACCCGAGAGTAATGAGGGAAGTGGCAAAAGAGCTTGCCAAACCACTTTCAATCATTTACCAGCAGTCCTGGTTAAATAGAGAAGTCTCAGCTGACTGTAAATTAGCAAATATAATGCCCATCTACAAGGGTTGGAAGGAAGATCTGGGAAACTATAGGCCTATCAGCCTGACCTTGGTACCAGGGAAGGTCATGGAGCAGATCATCCTGAGGACCATCAAATGGCATCTACAGGACAACCAGGGGATCAGGCCCCCAGGATTTACAAAAAGTAGGTCCTGCTTGACCAACCTGATCACCTTCTATGACAAAGCGACCCACTTAGGAGGTGAGGGAAAGGTGGTGGATGTTGTCGATCTAGACTTCAGTAAAGCCTTTGATACCATCTCCCACAGCATTCACCTGAAGTAATTGGCTGCATGTGGACAGGTGTACTCTTTGCTGGGTGAAAAACTGTCTGGATGGCCAAGGCCAGAGAGCGGTGGTGAATGAAACTAAATCCATTTGGTGGCTGGTGACTAGTGGTGTTACTCAGGACTCAGTATTGGGGTCAGTCCTTTTTCACATCTTCATCGATGATTTAGATGAGGGGATTGAGTGTATCCTCAGTCAGTTCACAGAAGACATAAAGTTGGGCAGGAGTGTTGATCTGCTGGAGGGTTGTAAGGCTCTACAGAGAGATCTTGACAGACTGGGTCAATGGGCTGAGGACAATGGTATGAGGCTCAATAACATGAACCAAGTGCTGGGTCCTGCACTTGGGTGACAACAACCCCAGGCAGAGCTACAGACTGGGGAAAGAGTGCCTTAAGAGCTGCTTAGTGGAAAGGGACTGGGGGTGCTGATTCACAGCCAGCTGGATATGAGCCAGCAGTTGCCCAAGAGGCCAAGAAGGCCAATGGCATCCTGGCCTTTGTCAGCAACAGTGTGGCCAGTACAGGACCAGGGCAGCAATTGTCCCACTTTACTCGGCACTGGTGAGGCCACACCTCGAATCCAGTGTTCAGTTTTGGGCCCCTCACTACAGGAAAGACATTGAGGTGCTGGAGTGAGTCCAGAGAAGGGCAATGGAGGTGGGGCAGGGTCTGCAGCAAAATCTTATGAGGAACAACTGAGGGAACTGGGGCTGTTTAGCCTGGAGAAAAGAAGGCTCAGGGGACACCTCACTGCTCTCTACAACTACCTGAAAGAGGTGGTGGTCGGTCTCTTCTGCCATGTCACAAGTGCAAAGATGAGCAGAAATTAACCTCCCCCACCAGGGGAGTTTCAGATTAGATATTAGAAAAAAATTATTCACTGAAAGAGTGGTTAGGCCTTGGAATAAGTTGTCCAGGGAGGTGGTGGAGTCAGTCTCTGGAAGTGTTCAAGAGGCAGCTGGATATGGCACATGGGAATATGTTTTAGGGGTGATTATGGTAGTGCTAGGTTGACACTTGGACTAGACAGTCTTCAAGGTCTCTTACAACCTTGATGATTCTGTGGTTCTCCCCCTCCTCACCACTGCCAGGTCTCAGAGGTTAGAAGGAATAGTGTGTCTCCTCACAGGAAACTTCTTGCCTGACTCTACTTGAGAGGTACTGCTGGGACCCGCTGTGCTTAGAGCTGCCTTTGGAACTTGTGAAAGTGAAATAAGACCCCTTTCTTCTCCCATCTTTCTTGAGTTAAAGGAATTTCTCATAAAGTTAAAGCAGTTTGGTATCACAAATTAATCTTCATTTTCTGCCAAATTAAAACGGAATACTATATGCCTCTTCTGGCATTTCTTTCACCACCAAAGGGTCAGTCACACAAAACATCCACCTTGCAGTGCTGTGGAAAAGCCTCTGTGCTGATCATCTCCTCCAGTACAAAGGTAAAGGCACAAGCTCAGACTGCTTTACTGTACCTAGTTTGGGAATACCCATCTCAGAGGATTTTGAGTATTTTCTTCAAATATTTAACGCACTCTGCTGCATCACCTTCTCCTCAGCGAGGAACCTTCTGTATGCTCAAGGTGGACCCACTGCTGCCATTCACAAGTAGAACACGTTTGCCCTGGAAGGTATAAGATAGAGAAACCTCAGATGTAAAATTCTTCTTCATTAACTGGTGAAGCTGGGGAAGCATGATTGTCCAGAGAACATGGAGCTGCTCTCAAGGACTGTTTGTGATGCTTGGTGGGAGATGCTGATGTGAAAGAGCTGGAAGACCATTCAGAAAGAGAACGCAATGAATCATCAGCTGACTCAAAAGTATTGCACATGGCTGAAACAGGCCTTCCACTGGTGGCCGCCTGTTTAGCCTTACTGACAGTTTGTTTCTGTAGGGGAAGAGAGTCTGCCAGCTCACTGCAAAATCCATTAAGGGAAGAGTATGCAGAAACCACAGACAGGTCTGAGAAGGACAGCTTCATCCCTGTATCCACATCAGTCTCTTGGGCACCTTCCAAGTCATCAATGTTAAGCTTGGGACTGCATTTCCATGTTTTTAACCTGGTTGCAGTTGACCCAGCATTTAAAAAATGAAATGGTTCACTGAAATGAAATGTCTCTGACGCTGAAGAGGAGTTCACCGTGGGCAAGCAGAACAGAGACCTGCTTCGTTGAAATGACCATGAAATGCTGGAGGCACTGCTGGATCTGTGCGTGAAGTCTCCCCCATCACTGTGTCTCAAGTCCTCCTGGGAGAAACCAAGATAATGGCCAAGGCCGTTCTTGGGATGTACCTTTTTTTGACCCATTTCTTGTGGTTGTTCAGAGATAGATAGGTGGCTCTGAGGAAGAAAGGCTGGCAGAGTGGTGAAGTGGGAATCTGTTGACAGAGGTGGATACGGTTGCTTGCTCTGCTTTGCAGCCTTCCTACACCAACTGCGTGCTTGCTGCAGCCAGGAGAGGGAAAAAAGAAGATCACATTAATACAGAATTGGCAGTTTTACAACCATAAAGTCTCCGTTGCTGAGTTGTTACTGCAAATAATTACGAAGCAGACTTCAGTCAGTATGCTTGTAGCAAATGTTTCACTTTAGTAACAAAGAGAAACCACCCTGCCAAAATCCCAAATATTTACATAAGGAGCCTCAAAGACAACAAGAATAAACGGTAGAGAAGCCCTGCCTTGGGGGCTGAATTACACTAGCTGTAAATTCTCACTTCCTATTGACTTGTTCAGATTCATTCATATTCTCTCTTCCTACATTACTGCCTTAGTGGACAGCTGAAGAACAAAAATGAATAAATGGAAGATATATGTTACCAAAATGATCATTTCTCATTTCTTCCTTGCTGTGTTTTTTTTTTTTTTTGTTTTCCCCTCTGAAACATCAGAAAGCCTTCAGCAAGCAAGCTCATTCTTGGTCTTCCCAACAGAATTTACTACTTCTTTCAACTCTTTCACATTTTCTCTTTCACATCTGGTTAGCTGAGCAGTGCACCCTAGAACCCACTTGCTCTGTTATCTAGCTCATAGTGACATTATGCACAGACATATAATTTGCTTGTAGACACGTAGACTGAAGACTGAAACTGATGTCTATGATCTGAATTTGGACCTGAATCTCAGTCCTATGGCAGGATTCAGTTGTCTGCCTGTCAGATACTCAAGCATTTGAACAGGGAAAGCAGCTGTGACAAAGGGGGAGCCAATATCCTTCTCAGGTGGCTGGATGCCTGGTGGCTTTCCTATGGGATTAGACACTGATGCGTGAGTAACTGCACTGTGTTCGACCAATCAGAAGGTTTTTCATCATCTCATTTATTTCAGTGAGGCTTTTAGAAGTTCGCCTTTCAAAAAGTTTAATTTAAATTCTTGTTACTGGAATTTCTCGCATAATAAAAAATGCTTGATCTCTCTCCCAAAAGGGACAGAAACTAATGGGACAAAGTGCAAGATATATATTCTTGAAGATAAACAATAATCTCAGCTATGGGACTTGTCAGTTGGAAACAACAGAGGAGAAAGAAAGAACTGGGATTCCTGATCACTGTGTGCTATTAAAGTGACAAGGCTGCGACAACATGATATGAGGCAGTTTCAAGTGAGTTAAAAAGGTCTTAACGCACTATGGACAACACTGCTAAGGCCTCATCCAGAATGCTGCACATGACTCAAATCATGCATATGTGAAAAAGAATAAATTTGAACTGATAAAAATGGAGCCACAGGAAAAAAAAAAGATGAACTATCTATTAAAAAACTGAACCACAAACTAATAAAAGGTTTCTAAGAACAACAGCAGGAAAAGAGTCTTACGGGGCAAGTAATGGATAAAGACAGAGCTTATTCATTTTAGCAAAGAGATTATATGACATGACAGAAAGGGCTGAGACCTGGCAACAAAGGAGGTCTTTTGTATCCCCTGTTTCTAAAAGAACTCCATACATCGCTGCTTTTAACATCTTGCTAGTGCACATCACATTGTCTTAGTGACCTATATCTGTCATAACCATCTTCTGTTTTTTATTGAAGTGATTTTAGAGGCAAAAAAGGATTTCCACATCTGCAAAAAATGTTTTCCTCATTCATAATCAGTTAGGTAGAGATTTATAGGACAGCCAAGCCACAGAAGTTGACTTAGATGTTGTAGATTAATATATTTACACATATATATCTGTAATGAAATACGTTAATTCATAACCTATTTCTGTGTAATACGGTAAACTGTTTTCCTTAGTGCCATAAAGAATTAAATGAATTAATGGAGAAATTAAGAAATTGAGTACATATGGGTCAAATAGAAGGAGTCAATTGTCAATAAAACATTAGTCAGAAATCACTTTAGACTTCTACACACATTATTTTATTTATGCAACACATAAACCAATTTGCTTAAAAAATACTCAGCAAGATAAAAGGCTTGTGCCCATGAAGAAAATACCAGCTCCTTCTTAAATGAAGACATTTTTTGGATAACCCAGAAATAAGTATATGACACACTGAAAGTATACAACCAGATCACTCTTTTGATGGGTTTGTCTAAGAAAACACTTCTCATTATATTTTGTTTGCATTAACCAAAGGTACTATTTTTTTTTCTGCAGTAGCTCTGTTATCAGATATGTTACATGAACTCAACCATCATGCTTGGTGAATCAACAGAAGCACCTCCAGAACACTTCTACCTCTAAGAGAAACAATCATGGATTGCCCCACCATGGCTTGTTTTCACGCTATTCTCGTATTTTTGTAGACTTAGTTGATAATTTGGTAGATCAAGCATCCAGAGAAATCAAGGATTCAAGCAAGTCTCCTCTTCCTGTTTGTGAAAAGGTAAGGATGGGACCACTGGTAACAACTTGGACGAAACTGTACCTGAAAACATATGGCTTTTGGGAACAGATCTGTACTTACACCGCAGAGAGTTCTGTGAGCAGTACAAAAGCCTTGCCTTTGCCTTGCACAGACTATACCACCTGTCCACATGTATATATGTATATATATATACATATATATGTATATATACACACGAATATATGTGTATATATATATACACAGGCATCCTGGGTAGGGTTTAGTTGTCTACTTAATACAGCCAGTGGAGTCTGGCGAGCAATTCAGCTTTCCCTGAAGGAATTCTTGTGTCTGTTTAGCTGAATTGCTTTCTACGTCCTTAGGCTGCACTGAGAACATACCCACCAACTACAGTAAGAACACAGACTGTAGCTGACACAAAAATACCTGAAAGTAAACATCAGTTTTAGGTGTCTGTGATTTGGAGCTGAACCAAATCCTGCAGAGATGACTCCCATGTGTTTATTTGGCTTTGGTGTATACATGAGGCATTTTGCGCACTAATAAAAATCTCATGTATTTAGATGGATGGTAATAATTTCTTATTTATTGACATAACTTCTGACATCTATTCCAAAGAAAAAGTAATTTAATTTGGTCTCTCAGGTCACCACTGTTAAGAGATAGTTGGTCCAATTCAATTGTGTAACTGTACGTATTTGCTGTATCCTGGCTGGCTCACAAGCACACACACAGGCCACTCTGTAACGGGGATTTCAGCAACTGGGAATGCTGCCGGGCATGTGTAATTTATTAATACAGGGAAAATCTTAAGCATTTTGGGAGTACAGCACAGACATAAGAACAGCTGTTTTGAGCTCCTTCTATTATTTTGAAACCCTCTAGTTTAAATCAGATTTTGTTAGTTTGGGATTGTACATATGCAACACAACGACTACAGGTGCAACCAAATTTTCAGGACTCAAAAGGATGCTCACCCAAGGCATCACCAAAGAGGATGTCAACCCAAGGGCAATACCAGAATAAATGGATGAGGTGAGATGAAACACACCTGCTAAAACCTCTGCTCTCATGTAGAAACTTTCTATCCAAAATGCAGATAAAAAGTAAAAATTCAAAGGAAAGGGGAAATGCACTTCTAAGTGGAAGTACTTGGAAGGGGCAACCTGCCCTAAACAGTCAAATAACTTTAAGTACCTGGGCTAAAACTAACAAGAATTTACTTTAGGTAAGATACTAGTTTTAGAGTTTTGTTATTTTAAACTTTTTTTCCCTAGCTCTTTTAATGTTCCTGTGGTCAGACAGAGGCATTTCATTTTATACAAGGTATTTGCTGTTAATCCTGATACTGAGTCACAGCTTCTGGTCAAGCCCAGTTGGCCTGGCAGGAGGTAACGGTGGATCAGCGAGGAGAAGGGGACAAGTACAGCCTGCCTTAGGATGGCTGCCTGCAGGGCAGGCCAAGTGACATCACTAACACAGTTTATTTCCGAACAGCTCTGTTTACAGGAGGAATTGCTTATCTCGATAATTTTTTTAGATAAATTCAGATTTAGAAGACCTATTTTCCGATGCTGGTCTTCATTACATGGGCAGAAAAGGGAAATAATAGGGAGATATTATTTTAATGCTTTCATCTTAAAGCAATATAACTGAAGACTTTTCTGGCTATGAGAATACCAGACTGCACAACTGCAGAACAGGTAGTGCGTCAGAAGCTCCATCTCACGAAATACTAGTGAATAAAGCTTACAGGCTAATCCTATATTGTAGAGAACTGGATTATGTGGACTAATAAGACTTTTCTATATCTACATTCTCTAACTTGTCAGAGATCACAGAGAGGATTCAATGATTTAGCCAGGATTAAAACTCAGGCAAAAATTAGCTCCTAGTCCTGTGCCAAGCCCATTGACTGTGCTCCCTTGTGCCACCCTGGCATGGCACATGGAGTGTTGCATCCAGCCTTTGCATTATGTGATCGCTTCTCTTTAGTTTTTTGAGGAGGCCTCTCCCACCTCCTCAAGCTTGCCATTGGCTTTGGAAACAGTTGCATCTTCTTTAATTTTATGAATTTTTTTTTTCAAGTCCTCATCTTCAGCCTTCTCATGGCTTGCTCTCAGCATTGCCTGTTACCTCCCTGCAGCCTGGCAGAGCCCTTCCTGGTACAGCCATGCTGCCTGCAACAGGTACAAGCACCACAGAGATGCCAGAGAGGGGGTCAGTCATCTGAAAGGACAAAGAGATGATCCAAAATGACACTCTGATTTGAAATTCCAAATACAGGGACATAGGTTTGTCAGACCTTGCCACAGAGATGCGCAACAAACCCGGCCATTGACTGAACAGATTAGCTCTCTAACAGAACAGATTTTTTCATCTGGCGCTAATCTGGTGCTCATTTATAATCTCTGCACAAATCTTTGAGAAGCCTGGAGGGATTTAGAGTCTTTGTGTTTTACAATGGGCTGCAGAAGAATTTCATGATGAATATCTGGGAATGCCATGAACAACTTGTGGCGAAGCTTGCAGAAATGCACTTTTGCCTTGGGCTAACAGAAAAAAATCCATGAGTGCTCTTGCAGTCTATTTTAAGTTATCTGCTTTTTAAGAAAGCAGATAGAGATCTCC